ACCTGCGGGTCTTTCTCCTGCAGCTGTACGTGCTCACGACCTTGTCCAGGTTGTCGACGCCTCCCTTGGTGCGGTTGTAATGCAGCACCAAGGGCGGTTTTGCGCCGCTTCTGTCGCTGCTTCTGTTGCCGCCGCCGCCGCTGCTGCTGCTGCTGCTGCGGCGGCGGCTAGGCCGGGGCTAGGGGCCGGAGCGATGGTGGTAGCGAGGAGCTGTGGTGAGGAGCAGCACGTTCTTGTTCTTCTTGGCCACGTAGGAGAGGATGATCGTGTCGGGCCCTCGTCCTCCTCCTCCTCCTCCTCCCCCTCGTCCCGCGGAGCCGCCGAGTACTACGGATTCGACGGAGCCCACGGCCCTGCCCTTGACGCAGCGCAGCTCTCTGGGGATCTCGGGTCTGTTCGATCGCAGAGTGCCCAGCACGGTGTGGCCTCTCTCGCGATAGAGCCTGTCGGCGAGCTCGTGCGAGGTGAAAAAGTTGTCGCACGTGACGTTGCGTCCCGGCGTCAATCCCTCGGTGAGGTCCATGACCACTCGAGTGGCCAGGTGCTTTTCGGGAGGGCCGCGCTTGTCGGGCTTGCCGGTGTAGACTTGCATCTTCCACGCGTAGCTGGAACGCGCGTCGCACGCCACCCATATCTTGATCCCGTACCTGGCCGGCTTGCTGGGCATGTACTGTCTGAACGGACACCGTCCTGATGGAGAGAGAGAGAGAGAGAGAGAGAGAGAGAGAAGAGATGGAGAGAGAGAGAGAGAGAGATGGAGAGAGAGAGAGAGAGAGAGAGATGGAAATGGAGAGAGAGCGAGAGATGGAGAGAGAGATGGAGATGGAGAGAGAGAGAGATGGAGAGAGAGGAGAGAGGAGGGGAGGGAGATGGAGAGAGAGAGAGATGGAGAGAGAGGAGAGAGAGATGGAGAGAGAGAGAGGATGGAGAGAGAGAGAGATGGAGAGAGAGAGAGATGGAGAGAGAGAGAGATGGAGAGAGAGAGAGATGGAGGAGAGAGAGATGGAGATGGAGAGAGAGAGAGATGGAGAGAGAGAGAGATGGAGAGGAGAGAGAGAGGAGATGGAGAGAGAGAGAGATGGAGAGAGAGAGAGAGATGGAGAGAGAGAGAGAGAGAGAGAGATGGAGAGAGAGGAGAGAGAGATGGAGAGAGAGAGAGATGGAGAGAGAGAGGAGAGATGGAGAGAGAGAGAGAGATGGAGAGAGAGAGAGAGAGATGGAGGAGAGAGAGAGAGATGGAGAGAGAGAGAGATGGAGAGAGAGAGAGAGATGGAGAGAGAGAGAGAGAGAGATGGAGAGAGAGAGAGAGATGGAGAGAGAGAGAGAGATGGAGAGAGAGAGAGATGGAGAGGAGAGGAGAGAGAGAGAGAGAGGAGAGAGGAGAGAGAGAGAGATGGGAGAGAGAGAGAGATGGAGAGAGAGAGAGAGAGGAGAGAGAGAGAGATGGGAGGAGAGAGAGAGATGGAGAGAGAGAGAGATGGAGAGAGAGAGAGATGGAGAGAGAGAGAGAGATGGAGAGAGAGAGAGATGGAGAGAGAGAGATGGAGATGGAGATGGAGATGGAGATTGAGAGAGAGAGAGAGAGAGATGGAGATGGAGATTGAGAGAGAGAGAGAGAGAGATGGAGATGGAGATTGAGAGAGAGAGAGAGAGAGAGAGAGATGGAGATGGAGAGAGAGAGAGAGAGAGAGAGATGGAGATGGAGAGAGAGAGAGAGAGAGAGATGGAGATGGAGAGAGAGAGAGAGAGAGAGAGAGAGAGAGAGAGATGGATGGATGGATGGATGGAGAGAGAGATAGAGAGAGAGAGAGATGTGGGAAAGTGTGGGGGAGATTGGGGCAGAAACGCAAGGAGAAGAGACGTGAGTTTGACAGAGAACGCGCTTGCTTGCTTGCAAGCGTGGAAGACATAAAGAGTCATGCGAAAGCACAAACGCGGAACTCAACACGAGTATACAACAAAGCGAGCTAGCCTGTTTTCGCCATTCCCGCTCCTATTCCTCCTCTCTTCCCCCAGTCACACACACACACACACACACACACAAACACACACCACGTAGTACGTACCTCTGAACGGCACCAGTCTCTCGTCGACGGTGACCTCCGGTCCCGGGCGGTACATGGCGGGCAACCTCGCGCACCACTCGTCCCACACGGCTCTGATGGGGGCCAGTTTGTCGTAGATATCACCCTCGCCCCCGCCGCCCTCGCCTCGCCCGGCCCGTCTGGTCTCTCTGTCGTCGAAGCGCAGCGCGCTGGAGTAGGCTCGAAAGGTCTTGAGCGGCATCGCGGCTCTGAACATGGACCTGCCGCTCTCGGCGTGCCACAGGCTCTCGCAGGCCTCTCCCCGGGACCTGTACACGCCGGCGAGCACAAGCAGCCCCACGTAGGCTCGGAACTCGACGCGGCCCATGGGCTTCCATCCGTCGATGGCGGGCCTGCGCCTGTCCGCTTCCAGGTTGGTCATGGCGATCACCGAGTCCTCTATCTCCGGCGGGAAGTAGGCCATGAACGCGGAGGCCTCGTCTCGCGCCGCCGCCACGGCCTCTTCGGTGGGGCCTCGTCCTGGCGGGTCGAGGTCGTCGTTGTCTTCTTCTTCTAATTCTTCTTCTTCTTCTTCTTCTTCTTCATAGTCTTTGTCTTCTTCTTCATCGTCATCGTTATAATCATCGGCGAGGACATCTTCTTCTTTTTCTTCTTCTTCTTCATCATCATCATCATCGGCGAGGACGTCTTCGTCTTCTTCTTCTTCTTCTTCTTCTAATTCTTCTTCTTCATAGTCTTTGTCTTCTTCATTGTCATCGTTATAATCATCGGCGAGGACATCTTCTTCTTTTTCTTCTTCTTCTTCATCATCATCATCATCGGCGAGGACGTCTTCTTCTTCTTCTTCTTCTTCATAGTCTTTGTCTTCTTCGTCATCGTCGTAGTCGTAATCGTCGGCTACATCTGCGTCGCAAGTTTCACTGACAGCGCCGCGGCCGCGATCGCACCCAAGATCATGAACGCCAACTGCAGCATGGCCGGTGTCGTCCTCTCGCCAAACCTCCCGAGTCCCACGCCCCGGTTCGGCGCCTGCTTCTTCCTCTCCCTCTCGGCGGTTCGACTCGCCTTGCAAGCCGCCGTCCTGGCAGAGTTGCGACGCCATTTCGTAACCGCGATCCTCTTCCCCGAAATACCTATCCACCCCATCGTTTTCGTCCTCCTGATCCTCCGAGTAGCGCTCCTCCTCGTCTGCGAGCGTTCGGGCCGTCGAGTCGTTGTTGTCGTCCCCCTCGGCCTCTTGCTCCTCTTCCTCCTCGCTCTCGTCCTCCTCCAAGTTCTCCTGTAGCTGCTGCTGCTGCTTCCGCCGCTGCTGCTGCTGCTGCCGCCGCTGCTCTTGGTCTTCCTCGACCCCTAGCCCTCGATAGCGAACGTGGCCGGTCGCAACAATGGAGCGACCGGAGCCGACCACGCAGCGTACGCCAAATGCGCTGGCGATGGCGACGGCGATGGTGATGGTGAGCGGGAGGAGGAGGAGGAGGACGACGATGACACCGCCGGCGAAAGCGGTCCGCCTGTACCGACCTTAGTGCTCTTTGGCTCCCACGGTCTAGTGCGTGACATTGTCTTCTTCGTCTTCTTCTTTCTCGTTGGCAACTTTTTGCCGTTGTTGTTGTTGTTGTTGTTGTTGTACGGCACGCGCCCGGACACCGCCTCTGTAACCTGTAACCCAGACGCGCTTTGTACCCGCCATCCACGCTCTTACCATCTCGCTGCGCGACGCGCTGTGCTTTCGCTGGGGTGTTTCTCGGCCACCTTTTACAAGACTTTATCGTCCGCGCTTGCACGTGTGCTCTCTGTCAAACTCATGTCTCTCTCTCTCTCTCTCTCTCTCTCTCTCTCTCTCTCTCTCTCTCTCTCTCTCTCTCTCTCTCTCTCTCTCATCCCGTCCCATCACCTCGGGGGGATCTCGCGACCCTGACCTCCCTCCCGACCTCCCTCCCGACCTCCCTCCCTCCCTCGGCGGGGGATCCGCATCCCCCGGCCCCGCCCTCCCTTCCCATCCCGTCCCATCCCCTCGGGGGGATCTCGTGACCCCGACCTCCGACCTCCATCCCTCCGTGGGGACCCGCATCCCCCGACCCCGCCGCTCTCCCCTGGCGGGTGCATCAGGGTTAAGTGTTGCTGAAGTTCCTGAGTTGTTAGTTTTGCATCCTCTGTGTATACATATATATATAGAGAGAGAGATATATAATATATATCTCTATCGCTATCTCTTCATCTCTGTATCTATCTCTCTGAAAACAAAGACAGTCTAATTAAAGGTCAATCTGTATAACTGCTCCTGAGGGTTTTTCATGTTTGGAGTAGAATAAAGGGCCATGGTCCAACTGATGTTTAACCAGTAATCTTCTTTTCACCAGCAAACACTCTGGAAAAACTGTGTTTAAATAAGAAATAAAAACACAGATATTATATCAGCAAAATAAAATTACAACTCAAATAAAAACGTGCAAACAAATTAAATGCACAAACATACCGTGTGCACCTTTCTACTGAACATTCATTAACAATTGCAGTCCATATTGTCCATATGTTCACCGCACATAAGCCAGCCTGCTCTTTCTTGCTGGAGTTCTCAGTCAATGCCGACATGTGCGCTTAATTAAACACTCGCACCACTAAGCGCCATACTCAAGTCTACCAGTAGGTGGCAACAACACAACATCGGAACCAGATTAAACACCTAATTTTGAACATTGCAATCACATAATAATTACATTTCAATGCGACAGCTACAACCTGCTTCAAGAATATGGAAACAAACTTTATGAACAACTGATTAAATTTGTCCCAATCAAAAAATTCAACTATTTAAAAAAAAGAAAACTGCAAATCTTAAAAGAATAATAATAAAAACCATGACCTTGAGCACTGAAAATCCTCACAGAGCAGCTTGTTTGTAGATATTGGCTGTGACCGAACTCTGTCTCGAGTCACTCCATCCATCTCTCTGTTTTCAGGTCCTGAGGACGTCGCTTATGGTCAGGTAGTCATCAAAAGCAAGAAGAAAGCTGGCAAGAGGAAAGGTAACCATAGTAACCACCATAACGACAAAGCATGGCACTCACCATAAGTCAATTCAATTTTATTTATACATATCAATATTGATGTATTTATATTTTGGGATTGAATGGTTTGAAGCAATGGGACAGACACCCAGAGCACCCCCCACAGGACACCCCTCAATTTCAGTTCAATTCAATGTTATTTATATAGCACCTAATCACAACAACAGTCACCTCAAGGTGCTTTATATTGTAAGGTCAACCCAACAATAATACATACAGAGAAAACCCAACAATCATATGACCCCCTGTGAGCAAGCACTTTGGCGACAGTGGGAAGGAAAAACTCCCTTTTAACAGGAAGAAACTTCCAGCAGAATCAGGCTCAGGGAGGGGCGGGGCCATTTGTGGTGAGAGAAGAAAAACAGGATAAAGACATGCTGTGGAAGAGAGCCTGAAAAAGCCTGAAAACTGAAGGCTCTCCCTCCCATTCTACTTTTAAATACTCTAGGAACAACAAGTAGGCCTGCAGAGTGAGAGCGAAGTGCTCTAATAGGGTGATATGGTACTACAAGGTCATTAAGATAAGATGGGGCCTGATTATTTAAGACCTTGTATGTGAGGAGCAGGATTTTGAATTCTGGATTTAACAGGAAGCCAATGAAGGGAAGCCAAAACAGGAGAAATCTGCTCTCTCTTTCTAGTCCTTGTCAGTACTCTTGCTGCAGCATTTTGGATTAGCTGAAGGCTTTTCAGCGAGATTTTAGGACTTCCTGATAATAATGAATTACAGTAGTCCAGCGTGGAAGTAATAAATGCATTACTTCTAGGCTGTGTTTGTTTAGAACAGCTGCTGCTTTTACTTTGGCATACATAATAATCTGCACTGACTCAGAGGTGTGTGTAACAGAAGTAGACTATACATGAATGGCCTGTAGGGGGAGTGAGGAGCACCACTGAGGAATTGTGGAATATAACCCACATAGCAAAATTGGTATGGTCCAGCTATGGTCCACACAATGTGCTTACACATGGCCCACATACCGCAAAGAATGATGGCCCATTGGTGGCCCTCTGGTTTGTCAAAGGTGACCCACACATGGGCCAGCACAAGGCCAGTTGCAGACACACTGCTGGCCCTGTTCTGGCCCAGAACAGTTTCAGCTCTGGCCCCTGATGTCAGCCTAATGTGTACCTTAATTAAGCCATGTAATAACAACATGTGCATAATAGTGCAAAAGTAACATGACAAAACTCTGTTCGGACAGTGAACCTTATATAGCATTTTTCAACTCTCCCAGATTACTATAAGTGCTCTATACAACAACACACACACACACACACACACAGGAGAACAGGGATCGAACCACTAACCTTCCGATCAATAGGTGACCTGCTCTACCGCCTGAGCTAAAGCCACCCAATGGCAAAGATGAGCAAACCCTCACTAGGTTTTTGATAAAGTATACACTCACAAACCTTCATTTGAAACATTGGCTACCATAGCAGTATAATATTGCAACATGGCATTTGGGTCTTCTAACTAAAATAGGAAAATAGGAACATAAATAGTGCATCATTGCCAGACCTGGCCCGCATGTGGTTGACATACACTCTGCCATGACACCAGTCAGTGAGAAGTGCCAGCTTGATGCCGGATCCCGGCCAGGCCTGTTTTCTATGAGCCTGGGCGACATAAACCAAACCACAATCAAACCAGATATGGCATGCCATCACCTAGACAGTGCCATGTATGCCAGGCCTGGCCCATATATGGATGACATACGTCTTATCATGCCAGAAGTCAGCCAGCAGTGCCGGCTTGATACCAGATCTGGGCCAGACCTGCTTGCTATGTGGGAAACATGTGAAACACACATACAGTGGGGCAAAAAAGTATTTAGTCAGCCACCGATTGTGCAAGTTCCCCCACCTAAAATGATGACAGAGGTCAGTAATTTGCACCAGAGGTACACTTCAACTGTGAGAGACAGAATGTGAAAAAAAAATCCATGAATCCACATGGTAGGATTTGTAAAGAATTTATTCGTAAATCAGGGTGGAAAATAAGTATTTGGTCAATAACAAAAATACAACTCAATACTTTGTAACATAACCTTTGTTGGCAATAACAGAGGTCAAACGTTTACTATAGGTCTTTACCAGGTTTGCACACACAGTAGCTGGTATTTTGGCCCATTCCTCCATGCAGATCTTCTCGAGAGCAGTGATGTTTTGGGGCTGTCGCCGAGCAACACGGACTTTCAACTCCCGCCACAGATTTTCTATGGGGTTGAGGTCTGGAGACTGGCTAGGCCACTCCAGGACTTTCAAATGCTTCTTACGGAGCCACTCCTTTGTTGCCCGGGCGGTGTGTTTTGGATCATTGTCATGTTGGAAGACCCAGCCTCGTTTCATCTTCAAAGCTCTCACTGATGGAAGGAGGTTTTGGCTCAAAATCTCACGATACATGGCCCCATTCATTCTGTCCTTAACACGGATCAGTCGTCCTGTCCCCTTGGCAGAAAAACAGCCCCATAGCATGATGTTTCCACCCCCATGCTTCACAGTAGGTATGGTGTTCTTGGGATGCAACTCAGTATTCTTCGTCCTCCAAACACGACGAGTTGAGTTTATACCAAAAAGTTCTACTTTGGTTTCATCTGACCACATGACATTCTCCCAATCCTCTGCTGTATCATCCATGTGCTCTCTGGCAAACTTCAGACGGGCCTGGACATGCACTGGCTTCAGCAGCGGAACACGTCTGGCACTGCGGGATTTGATTCCCTGCCGTTGTAGTCTGTTACTGATGGTGACTGTTGTGAATTTTAGCACTACGGTTAGCATTTACAGGATATTGTTTTTGATGATATTATACAAAGAACCCTGTTTATGCAATGCCCTTTGTTTTAAAACTTCATCTCCTCTTTTTGTTACCCCACGGGCACTTCCTTTGGCCTGCTGGCCTGGAAAATCCAACAGTTCATCTATATGTAAAGAAGGCACTTAAACTGGAACAGGCATGGCTGCGTTGATCGTATAGTGGGACAGTGCATTCCTCAGTGCACCTCAAGCTTGCAAGCCTGCTAAAAGATCACACACCATTGATTATGTGCCTCTAGGTATATATGGTTAAACATTTCCTAATGCAAATAACTACATGCAGTATTCTACCATGTGCAAACTTATATCACTAAAGGATTCTAAATGTCTAGTGTTTAATGGACCTGTCAAAGATATGTTGAGATTATAGAAGGCCCATTTACTAGTTGTCTTTTTCTTTCTCTGTGACCCAAAAATTAATGTGTAAGAATCACAGGCTGGTACTTCAAGGTTGAACATACCACAGAGACCACCTCCTTATTCCCATCCTCCCTTCTTTATCTCTTAGAAAAAGAGCTTGTTAAAGGCCAGGTGGTTTGTCTCAGAATTCACTAATGAAAGAACTCTGTATTCTATGTCTAGGAGTTGTTATTTTCTCTTGCCTTGTCAACTCAAGATTTATGGTGTGAAACTGGATGCTAAAGTTGGAGGGAAAACACCAACAAATCACTCTTTTACCTATCAGAAGATGTTTATGTGAAGACCATCTGGTTTTTGTGTCAGAACTCAGGATGTAGGAGACCTCTGTATAAGATTTATTGTTCTTGTGAGTGCATTTTTATTGCCCTTGCTGAACAAAGGATTTCAACTGTCAGGATGCCACCCCACCCAGTGGGCAGGGTCTGAAACTGAAACTTGTTGTCTGCCTATAAAACTGTTGCACAGAGAATAAACTTTGAGTCAGTTTGGAATGACAATCTAGAACAGTCTCCGCATCTTCTTGTTCTTCCAAACTGCTCCCGGTACTCCGGCCGGTACCGTGATTAACCGTTGATCATGCTCGAGAATATTTTAATTTTGTTATATGTTAAAGGATGAACTCTGCTTATTGGTGCCCACGCCTTAGGAGGAAACTCGATCTACGGATGATGGAGATTCCTTCAGTGACCTTTGTTACTTTGGTCCCAGCTCTCTGCAGGTCATTCACCAGGTCCCCCCGTGTGGTTCTGGGATCTTTGCTCACCGTTCTCATGATCATTTTGACCCCACGGGATGAGATCTTGCGTGGAGCCCCAGATGGAGGGAGATTATCAGTGGTCTTGTATGTCTTCCATTTTCTGATGATTGCTCCCACAGTTGATTTTTTCACACCAAGCTGCTTGCCTATTGTAGATTCACTCTTCCCAGTCTGGTGCAGGTCTACAATACTTTTCCTGGTGTCCTTCGAAAGCTCTTTGGTCTCGGCCATGGCGGAGTTTGGAGTCTGACTGTTTGAGGCTGTGGACAGGTGTCTTTTATACAGATGATGAGTTCAAACAGGTGCCATTCATACAGGTAACGAGTGGGGGACAGAAAAGCTTCTTACAGAAGACGTTACAGGTCTGTGAGAGCCAGAGATTTTCCTTGTTTGAGGTGACCAAATACTTATTTTCCACCCTGATTTACGAATAAATTCTTTACAAATCCTACCATGTGGATTCATGGATTTTTTTTCACATTCTGTCTCTCACAGTTGAAGTGTACCTCTGGTGCAAATTACTGACCTCTGTCATCATTTTAAGTGGGGGAACTTGCACAATCGGTGGCTGACTAAATACTTTTTTGCCCCACTGTACAGGTGTGTGATACTCTAACCCTGTGTGTGTGTGTGTGTGTGTGTGTGTGTGTGTGTGTGTGTGTGTGTTACAGAGCAGTCAGCTGATCCATGTGCTGTGTACTCATCAGTCAGAGCAGGTAACATTCACACACAGGAGTTTTTAAATAAAGGTCAGAGGTGAACAGCTGAGAGCTGACATCAGTGGTGTTTGTCTCTGAACAGGAAGCTGAGGACACACTCAGTCTGATGGACGACCTTCATCCTTCACTCTGCTCCTCTTTCAGAGCTGAGGCATCATCAGTTATTCCTGAATCTAAATTAGTCAGTGTTGATCATGGATCATTAGTTTTGCTGTTTTCATTCTTCTACAAACATGTGAATGACTTTAAAGGATCCATATATATGTATTAAAGGATGGACCTGTGTTTAATAAAAGTTTGATTCCAACATCCCAGACTGGTGTTTGTATTTGTTACATCTAACAGCCTGTGTCAGTCAGTCCCTGTGAGGTCCTGATGTGTCTCAGACAGAGCTGAGTCCTGTAGTCCTGGGTGAATTGATAATGGAGCTGCTGGTTGGTACTTTGCTGTCCTAAACACATCAAACTTAGTAGTAGTAAATGGACAGTCAGTGACTTCCTGACCCACTCACAATCAGCAGTGTAACTTTAGTATGTTTAATGGAGGTATGCATGGTTTTATCTTCATACTGTGAATAATTTCAGACTGACAGCTCCATATCTCTCTCTCTCTCATATATATATATATATATATATATATACACACACACACATATATATATAAAAACACCCAGCACGCCCCTGCGGGCGGTTTATCCTTCAAGCTCGGGTCCTCTACCAGAGGCCTGGGAGCTTGAGGGTCCTGCGCAGTATCTTAGCTGTTCCCAGGACTGCGCTCTTCTGGACAGAGATCTCCGATGTTATTCCCGGGATCTACTGGAGCCACTCGCCTAGCTTGGGAGTCACCGCACCTAGTGCTCCGATTACCACGGGGACCACCGTTACCTTCACCCTCCACATCCTCTCGAGCTCTTCTCTGAGCCCTTGGTATTTCTCCAGCTTCTCGTGTTCCTTCTTCCTGATATTGCTGTCATTCGGAACCGCTACATCGATCACTACGGCCGTCTTCTTCTGTTTGTCTACCACCACTATGTCCGGTTGGTTAGCCACCACCATTTTGTCTGTCTGTATCTAGAAGTCCCACAGGATCTTAGCTCGGTCATTCTCCACCACCCTAGGGGGCGTCTCCCATTTTGACCTCGGGACTTCCAGGTTATACTCGGCACAGATGTTCCTGTATACTATGCCGGCCACTTGGTTATGGCGTTCCATGTATGCCTTGCCTGCTAGCATCTTGCACCCTGCTGTTATGTGCTGGATTGTCTCTGGGGCATCTTTACACAGCCTGCACCTGGGGTCTTGCCTGGTGTGATAGACCCCAGCCTCTATGGATCTTGTGCTCAGAGCTTGTTCTTGTGGTGCCATGATTAGTGCCTCTGTGCTGTCTTTCAGTCCAGCTTTGTCCAGCCACTGGTAGGATTTCTGGGTATCAGCCACCTCCTCTATCTGCCGGTGGTACATACCGTGCAGGGGCCTGTCCTTCCATGATGGTTCCTCGCCTTACTCCACTTTCTTGGGTTTCTACTGCCTGAGGTATTCACTGAGCACACTGTCAGTTGGGGCCATCTTCGTGATGTATTCGTGGATGTTTCTTGTCTCATCCTGGACTGCATGAAGAGGATGATGTGGACAAAATACAAAATACTCATTTGCCTAATAATTCTGCACTCCCTGTAGTGTTGATGCATGTGTGTTCTAAGGTGCATTTAAAACCCAGGAGGGCATGGAGCTACCTGCCAGAGAGCAGCAGGTAAGCGCATAGTCCCTCCTGCTAGCCCTCAATGTCTACATGTATTTAAAATTGAGAGGTGGGCAACGACGCCAGGGGTGAGGTGTACACCCTGATGGTAACCTGGATTCCGTGTATCGTGCCCACCCCCAAGATCCTATATGTATGTGTAAGGAGAGTGTGAGTAATGTGAATGTCTAAGTTGTGGGATAAAATTGAGGCAGAGGCAGCCAGAAGGGGACAGAAGGGGACAGGGGGGGGTAGCCTCCTCTGCACCCTGGTGACACACCTTTACCCCAAGGCTCTGCATGTGTGGGTGATTGTGGTGGAGCAGGAAGAGGGAGGCAGCTGGAGATGGGGAGGGAAGGAAGGGAGGGGCAAGTGACCCCTCCCTGGGGCCAGCTCCCCCGCTGACCCCAGTAGGCACCCCCACACTCTGCAACCCACCAGGGAAAGGGGGCCCAGGCCCATCCGGACCGGGGCCCAGTTCAGAAGCACCACCCAGCCCCACAGAGCCCGGGACAGTCCACCCAACCCCACCACAGAGAAAACTGCACCCACCCCATCATCCACTCATCTTCCAGACTACACAAGACAATAGACGCCCAGGCTGAGATCTCCCTCCACCTCTCCTGTATCTCCCCCTCCTGCAGAGTGAGTTCCTGAAGATGTAACAGCCTCCCCCACCAGTTGAAGAGCCCCTTTCGAGGGTGGTAATCTGGTCAGCCAGCTCGCACAGTGCGTTGTTTGCATTGGCCTGAGGAGGGATGTAAACACCGACCAGCATGAAGGAAGAAAACTCCCGCCGTGAATAAAATGGTTTGCAGTTGATGAAAAAAGTGTCACAGCTGAGGAGCAGTCGTGTGGTGTATTGAGAAAAGGATCCAAAATGCAGGCACTGGCTAGGGTGCGAGTGAGTGTTTATTTACAGAAGTGACAAAAACCGGACGAGCAGAGCGGGGAGTTAACAAACCTAAACTGGGGAAAACTAAAGACCTAACCAGAAACCAAACACTCACGGGAGGAGGAGAAAAATGCACAGAGAAGGATGGCAGAGAGACGCAGAATGAACACCGGGTTACACAGAGTAGTGAAGACTGACACGGAGTAACACAGGCAGGCATGAAACAAAAACACTAACACATAGCAAACCTAAACAAAAGACAAAACAGAATAAACAAGAACATAGAATAATATAAAGAAACACAAAACACCGAATCCTCAGACTCAGGACCATGACAAAAAGTTTCCAGGTTTGGGCTGCAGTACTTCTGTAACACTGTGACATCAGTACACCAACCTTCGTTAATGTAGAAGCAGACTCCACCACCCTTTGTTTTCCCTGAAAACTCCGTTCCGCGGTCTGCCTAGTGAAGTTGGAAGCCCGGCAGATTAAACACAGCGTCTGACTGAGACAGGTTTCAGTGAAGCAGAGGGCAGCAGAGCGTGCAAAGACCTTGTTAGTCCACTTTAAAAGCAGTAATTCCTCAACTTTGTTTGGAAGAGACCAGAGATTGGCTAGGTGAATAGAGGGGAGTGTTGTGTGGAATCCTCGCAGACGTAGTTTCACCAGCGCACCAGCGTGAGTCCCCCGTCTGCGTCTCCTCTGGGAGCCACAGAGAGCCGACTAAAGTCTCTGAAAAACTTTCTGAGTTTATGAAAAATGGATATGAACTATTTTGAGATGACTGCCTGACGTTTAGCAATTGATCTCTGGAGAAAGTGATGTAGTCTGAGTGACCAAAAGCGCAGAAAATAAGTAAAAACAAGAAAAGTGCGAGAGAGCGCAGTACTGAGAAGTTAAGTATGAGGTCCGGTCAATAGCATTGTCTTGTTCTAACTGCTTCAGACAGACTATCACCCTCTTACTGTAACCACTTCCTAGGTCTTGTTTCAGGGGCTCATAAGTATTTTTTGTCAGTGAGGAGTGACAAAATTTTCTCATGACAGTCTTTCTGGTTTTGTATGCTATGTCTTCTAATGATGCTGCCTAAGGGAAGCATGTATAATGTAAACAGAATTGGTCCTAGCACTGAACCCTGTGGAACTCCATAATTAACCTCAGTGTGTGAAGAGGACTCTCCATTTACATGCACAAACTGGAGTCTATTAGATAGATATGATACAAACCACTGCAGCACAGTACCTGTAATACCTACAGCATGTTCTAATCGCTCTAATAGGATATTATGGTCGACAGTATCGAACGCTGCACTGAGGTCTAGCAGGACAAGCACAGAGATGAGTCCACTGTCAGAGGCCATAAGAAGATCATTTGTAACCTTCACTAAAGCTGTTTCTGTGCTGTGCTGAGCTCTGAAACCTGACTGAAACTCTTCAAATAAGCCACTTCTCTTTCAAGGATTTTTAATGAAAGAAAGGTTGGAGGAAGGTTAGCCTATAATTAGCTAAGACTGCTGGTTCTAAATTTGTGACACACCATTTTCTCTCCAGCTTACGAGTTATCTCCTTTAGGATATGTGTTTGAGAATTACACCACGGAGTCAAGTACTTCTAATTTGAGGCTCTATTTTTCACAGGAGCTACAGTATCCAGAATCATGCATAGTGAGAAGGTAAAATTATTAACAAGATAATTGACCTCCAAAAGTGGATTCTGTTCATCTGTTGATTCTGTTCATCTGGACATAGCGTAGTGTAGCTATATCCACATGAACAGAATCAACTTCTGGAGATTTACTTAACTGGATGATTGAGCATGCATCAAGAACAAGATAACTGAACTCTGTTGGCGTAGCGATCAGGTAGCTGCTATGCTCTATGTTGGTACAGGGCATTGAAGATGATAACAATTGGTGGATTATATTCTTAAACTTAGTTTAAGTAATTGCATATTGCACTGCATATTTTATATAATACAGTAAATTTGTAGGAATCACTCAGTCACTGAAAGTATCCATGAAACTGGCTAAGTAACTAAGTAATTCCTAAATGCATGTAGATTACATAAAATGATTTTACCTGGAAATGATTGTCTCTGATGAGCCTAAGTTACAAAATATGCCAGCGACGACGATAAACTTTTTCTAGATCTGCGAGAATCAAAAATGTCCAAAAAAACAGCGACATTTCTGGGTAGCTAGCGAGCGGGAAAAAGCGGAAGTAGAACAAAGGCTAGAAAGAAAAAACATTATTGTTTGTTGATCTAGAAAAGATGGCAGACTAAGCGGTTGTCTTGAATGTAGCTCTGTCACGAGGTACCTTTTATTCCTCTTTTTCTGTTGGTTTTTTCCCTCGTAAAGTTTAAGCTGAGTTCATAAAGATGCCAAAATAACAGAAAAAGGATAGAGGGAAAGCAAGTTGTGGCGGGGCATGGCCTGCGGTGCCGTGCAAGGAGGGCGGACGCACGTGCACGGCATCTGCAATCACGCCACATCGACTTAAATATTATACTGGGTC